ACACTGAGTTTCATCATTCTGGATGAGACCTAGGATAGTCATTAATAGAATATATTTAACATAAAACACATTTCTTTGTTATTTCTGAAAGGCATCATTTAAGAAATGAAAATCAGATCTAAGTGTATTGAAATAGTTCGATTTCAACATTAAGACCATGATCCCGCCCCTTATGTCTTTGACAAATGGGAAGTAAAAGTTGAACGTATTTAATACAACTGTTAATAAAATCAAAGCTGTAATTTGAATGTATACTTTATGATGAAGACCTTTCACGAAGAAGAACGAATATTATTATTTTAAAGAATTAACAATGGGGAAGAGCTTGGTTAAATCCTTGACTTTGATTGGATATTCCTTCTCTGAGAATACATGATTTTTCGTAACCTGTCTGTAAGATACAAAAACTTCAGGGGTGGAAAATAACTAAGTAGATTTACTCAAGTACAGTACTTACAAATTGGAGGTACTTGAACTTTACTAAAGTATTTTAGTGCCACTTTATACTTCTACTCCACTACAACTCAAAGGGAAATGTTGTACTTTTTACTTCACTATATTCATGTTACAGCCAAGGCCGGATTAACTGGTCTCTCTCTCTCTCTCTCTCTCTCTCTCTCTCATTCTCTCTACCACGCACTTTCACACACACACACACACACACACACACACACACACACACACACACACACACACACACACACACACACACACACACACACACACACACACACACACACACACACACCACACACACACACACGAGCAACCACATACTTTCATTACATGTTTTACTTTTGTAACTCTCAATGTTTGTAGAATAGAACTCCTCGTGTACTTGTAAAGCCAGCCAGTCATATTTGCTGCTTTGAGGTTTTGATTGGTATTAGTTTCTTCTTGAGCCATACACTGTCTTGAGATCTTATCCATTGTATCCTTGTCTTGTGATTTTTGACTGAAAGGGCAAAAGGCTAGACCTACTTTGGTTGAGCTATGTAGCTGCGTACCTGCTTTTGACAAATAGGTGTGCGATTGACCTGCCAGATTGAATGAAAATTTCAATCATCTGGCAGGTCAATCGTACTCCACTCCATATTTGCCGTAGACCTGTGTTTATGGAAGTAAAGATATATTTAGGCTGTGATTGGTTATTCCTCGTCACATGACAAGCGTTGCGCGCAGCAGCGTTTAAATCGGGGCGCCCTGGATGCACGCTGAGTAAAAAGGCACTTGGGAGTGCTGGCATGCATCGGCGGCTTCCACCACTTGTTTTGAGAGGCTGCTTTGAATACAAGTGAAATGTAACACGTAAAAACAAACAACAATAACCACAGAAAAAATGGCAACTGCACACGTTCACTTTAGTTGTGGTGAAAACAAAGGTAAATGTATTTTGCCAAACCATGCGCTAGCAAGTTTGTTGAAGTTTGTATATATGTACTCACACTGTATAGTTGTGGGATGGAAGATGGAAGATGATCTCAAGGTGAGTGATAGAAGGCTGGCGGGTTTCGCGGGAATCAGACGAGTTTTGCCTGAGTTCAAAGAAGAATCTGGCAATGAGTGAGTGCACAGGAGAGGCTTATATACTATCTGATTGGAGATGAAAAGCAGCAAGGACCCCAGGTGAGCTGACGGGGTGGGTGTGGCTACAAGACATTGAAGGAAGTCCAGGAGAATGGCAGCATTGTTTGCTAAACACGGAAACTTGTCCATAACCTCTCAAGTATGATGCCAATGTTTTTGGCTGCAGGTTGATAACAATATTGTTTGCAATAGTTTCAGTCTAAATAATTGTGTGCAGACTCTTCCTTCTCACATACACGGAAAGGAATCTGGGGAGATACATTTTTTGAAACTGACACAGCTTGGGCATCTACACAGATGAGTTACCTAAAATCCTTTTCGTAAACTCATACTGTGGGCGTGGAAGGCCTTAACTGGCTGGAGAAGGAACTAAAAGAAAGCGGTTATTATGATTCTATAAATGTTTTAAGAGAGCAATGTACTGATAATCAATGCAACACATCATCCAACAGAATCGGCTTTATGAATAACATATACAAATGGAAACCCTGAACTAGACTCTATACAGATGAGCATCAAGGAAGCAGCAGGATTTGCTACAGACAAGAACTTGTTTCTAACCTATTGTCCCTCAGAGATGATGCCAATGGTTTTGGGTGCAGCTTGTGCATCTCTGAAAACAATGATTGCAATAGTGTCAGTCTGAAGTATTTGGGCCTCACTTAATTGTCAGACACCCGGAAAGGAATTTGTGCAGGAAATACAATCTGAAATTGAGACAGCCAGGGTTTCCACCCAGAAACATTGCTTCTCTCCGTGCCTCTCCACACGGAGAGAAGCAGACCGTGACAATAACATCCGGGATCAGCAACTTCTACTGATGTTGGAAAATGTTTATTTCGTCTGGTGCTAGCTTCGTTATTGTCGATAAAATATATAGACTGCCATTTAGAAACATATTTTATTACTTATAAACACCTCTCTTAGCTCAGGATGTGTCCCAGCTGCCTTCAAACATGCCGTGGTTAAGCCACTACTTAAAAAGAAAAATCTCGACCCCTCCATTCTCGCACATTTTAGGCCCATCTCCCAGCTACGTTTTTTATCTAAAGCCCTGGAGCGAGTAGTCTACGCCCAGCTGCAGTCTTTTTTAACCATGCATGTAATCCATGAAAAGTTTCAGTCTGGCTTCAAACCCATGCACAGTACTGAAACAGCGCTTTTAAGAGTTTTTAATGATCTGCTCCTAGCCGCCGACTCAGGTAGCCCAGCTGTCTTAGTGCTGTTAGACCTGACAGCTGCCTTTGACACTGTGGACCATAGCATCCTGCTGTCACGGCTTGAACAGTCCGCTGGCATCACAGGCTCTGCCCTTGCATGGTTCAGGTCCTACCTGACAGACCGTAGCTTCTCAGTACAGCTAGGTGCCTTCTCCTCAGCCATAGCCCCTCTTACCTGTGGGGTTCCCCAAGGCTCGATTCTGGGCCCCATCCTTTTTCTACTGTACATACTTCCCCTAGGTTCAATTCTAACTAAACACAATATTCCCTTCCACTGCTACGCCGACGATGTACAGATATATCTGCCTCTCAAAGCAAATGTCAAACACTCACTACAGCAGTTGATGGACTTTAACAGAGATAAAATCCTGGCTGAGCAAAAACTTTCTCAACCTCAACGAGAGCAAGACTGAGGTCATCTTCTTTGGACCCCAACCTCCAGCCTCTCCGGTTGATATTCTGGGCTCTCTCAATAAAAACATCCTCCCCTCTGTCATGAACCTTGGAGTGACCTTCACTAGCACTTTTAAATTCGACAAGCAGGTCAGCACCGTAGTCAAATCCTGCTTTTTTTAAATAAGACTATTGGCCAAGACCAAGTCGTATTTATCTTTTAATGACTTAGAAAGGGTTATTAACGCCTTTGTTACCTCGAGACTGGACTATTGCAACGCTCTGTATGTGGGTATGGACCAGGCCTCAATTAAACGCCTGCAGCTAGTCCAAAACGCAGCTGCACAATTGCTGACTGGCCACAAAAAGCGTGACCACATCACCCCAATTCTGGCCTCCAGTTCGGTTCAGAATTGATTTTAAAATTCTTTTATTTGTTTTTAAAGCACTAAATGGGCTGGCTCCGGCCTATATAGCTGAACTCCTCCAGCGCTACACCCCAGCCAGAGCTTTAAGGTCTGCTGACCAGCTGCTGCTGGTAGTGCCCAAGACCAGGCTTAAAACCCAAGGGCACCGAGTCTTCGCAGCAGCTGGCCCTAGGCTCTGGAACACTCTGCCCCTCCATGTGAGGTCAGCCCAGACCCTAGGGGTTTTTAAATCTACACTAAAAACACACTTCTTCTCTCTGGCCTTCTAGTTAGAGCGGAGCACGACTCCTGACTTTTCCCTGTGTTTTTTTTAAATATATATCTGTTGTAATTTATTGTCTTTTATTGTGATTGTAGTAATGTGTTTTTATTACATCAGCACTTTGGCTCGACCAAAAATCGCTTTTAAATGTGCTTTATAAATAAAACTTGATTTGATTTGATTTGATACAGTAAATACAATTCTGCTTCAAACAATAGGGCTAGGCCAAACTGTCTAGAAATCTAATGAAAACAACAAATATTCAAGCTGAACTGAGGATGATCCTCCGTCACTTTAAAGTAACTAAGAGGATGTCTACGATCTTTCGGGTCAAACTCCATGAAAACGTTCTGTATTCAAATGTCCAATTCATTGTGTTGGGATATTACAACCCATTGAAGGAAGCCCAGGAGAATAGCAGCATTGTTTGCTACACATGGAAACTTGTGCATAACCTCTCAAGTATGATGCCAAGGGTTTTGGGTGCAGCTTTTGCAGTTCAGATAACAATAACTTTGCAATAGTTTAAGTCTAAAGAATTGTGTGCAGACTCTTCCTTCTCGCATAGAAGGAAATGGATTTGGGGAGATTTGTTTTTTGAAACTGATACAGCTTGGGCATCTACACAGATGAGTTACCTAAAATCCTTTTCGTAAATTCATACTGTGGGCGTGGAAGGCCTTAACTGGCTAGAAAAGGAACTAAAAGAAAGTGGTTATTATGATTCTATAAATGTATTAAGAGAGCAATGTACTGATAATCAATGGAACACAACATTCAACAGAATCTGCTTCATGAATAACATATACGAATGGAAACCCTGAACTAGACTCTAGGGTTGGTCATAGAGCATCTTGACCTTGTTCGTCATTTATTTTGGTTCCAGCTTCATGAAGACTCTGAATATGTTTTGAGATATTCCATTTGAGAGCATCGAGGAAGCAGCAGGATTTTATTAAAAAATACAACTATAAGTGGGCTAGAGCGTTGATGATCAGATCAAGGGGCGTTGGTGAACTCAAGTTCTAAAAAAGCTCTTAGTTGGGGCAAAGAAACTTTAAATGTAAAAAAAGATTTGGATCCAGACCAATAACGATAGACAGACCAATATAATGTTCTAATGATTTTATTGTATATCAGAATTGATAACATAGAATTATGTCCTGGACCAGGTGGTGACCAAAAAAAGCACCAAAACAGTATAATATGTAAGCAAGTAGAGCTCTAAACATTCTCAACATGCAATCACTGTCATTCTAGGAGATGATTTTAGAAAGAAGTGATTTTTGGTTTTCTTTTGCATTGTGAACTTCTCCAGTTCTTCACTTAATCCAGACGAGAGCCGTACACCTCCACCTCACACAGACTCAGGAACTCATCCCGTCCTGGGATGACTATGTTGACGAAGCGACCGTCCATCCCCTTACAATCAAACTCACCGACGCCACCTGCAGGGATACTTGTGATCACAGCACACCTGGCAGAAGAAGCCGAAATTACTTTGTTGAATTCAATTAAGGTTGGTTTTGTTGCTTTAACAAATTGCACTGTTGGCCACATTGGGGCAGCAGAACAAACATTGCAAAAACAGGACTTTGAAATGATCACCTCACAAGGTTGTTGTGGCAAACATGCAAGCAAACATTTGTCGTTTTCATCATCTATTGGCCACCTGATGAACTCTGTACTGGTCTCCGTGTGATGTAAATATCTTGCTCTAAGCTGCTCAACGCTCCACTGTGCTCACCGGCTAGTTATTAAGTGTGTGTGTGTTTGTACTTTGGTGGTGAGCAGCTAGCGTACAGTCTGGGATATCTGAGGTTTTTCTTTGTTAAGCAGCCGAAAGCAACACTATGATAGCAATAATATTAAACCAAAAATTGAAGTCGCACGTAAACCAAAAACAATATACCAAAAGAAGCGTAAAAAGCTGAATGAAACAGTATATGTAGATATACACTCAACACAAATACAGCTGAGACTGATGAAAATGGCCTTTGTGTTGAGGGGTTTGACAATTTGTGAGTTGTCAGCGCATCAAACTATGACCCTACACTACAGTTGCATTAAACCCTGGTGTGTAAAATTAAACAGTAAAAATTCCATGACAACAACATGTTGTTATAGTTTCACATGGGACCCAAACCGCAGTCTCTTGGGTAAAAGTCCTGTGTTGTTTTTTCCACCCTTATTCTACGTCACCACCAGCACTTGCTCTGAGCGTCTAATTGGCGCAGTTACTTGAAAACCCAATGTGTCCCCAACTAAAGGGTGCCTCGAGCATTGGAGGACATGACGAAGCCTTGGTATTTGAAGCTCTCTTATGAGACTGGGCTGGAGTGAATTTGACCAAAATACATCTGGGAGTAGTAAAGATATTTCAGTCTGAACAAAGCACTGACCGGCCACTAGAGTGACTAAAAACATTGTTAAGAACAGCTGTAAAATATGAATTACATCCAAAATACAAAGCTATGTAAATGAAGAAACCAGGGACTTTGAAAGGCTACCTGGAGTTGTTGTTGCCAAAGTTTTCAACAGAGTCTCCGATGCGGATCTCAGCTCCATTGAGTCGTTCTGGGTCTTCTTCTCGGTTGGTCACCTTGACAGTAAACACTTTGTGGGTTCTGCGCAGATCCAATCGCCACCAAGGGCTGATGTTGTTTTTTGTGTGAGTGCAGGAGCCGTCCTCCCACTTGCTGCCAGGATTCCCATCTATGGCATTATATGCAGTGCCAAACATATACAGGGATGACTGTGAGGCTTTTCCTTGGAGTGCCAGGTTCTCTCCTAGAAAAAACACATTTACAAAAATGACCTGACTAATTTGTGGATTTCATGACAGCAAATATAAACAAGTTGAAGGTCTATCACTAACATGTATGATTTCTGATGCTAAATGATACTAAATGCATGATAAAACCAAATGGAAAAATTCAACCAAAAGAAAGAAAAAAAGGAAGCTATTAAATAGGATGTGGGACCCTGGCAGGATTACACAACATTTATGATTCTCACTTTAATCCAAATGTAGCTAATAAGAAGGTTGACTTTATAAAAAATGGTTGGCTTACACCATAGACTGTATCTAAGAAGTTGGCAAAGTCATCGTGACGTCCTCCATTTCTTTGTAAAATACAACAACCTTGATTTTGGGCCTTCGCCATTTAGTTTTTTTGGAACCATGAGTGACATGAGAGTGACTTGAATCTAGAGATTGGGAACAAAAAGTAATGTAGGGTAGTATGTATATAGGGTCATTTTCTTAAAGACTTCTACACAATTGGACTTCTTTTTACAGCCAGATCAGTGGCAGAGGAAAAGAGGAATTAAAGTAAAAGTATAGTCTATAATATATTGAGTGTATATAGTAAAAGTTATATATAACTACAAACTACAAACTAAGCTGAACTACACTTGTGATTCAGTTTTGACAAATTAAACTTTAAATAATTGGGTACCGCCATTTTTCAGGCTATAGCCATCTTACTTTTTAGGAACTATAAGTGACACGAGAGGGTGGAGGTAAATACATCCTTACCTTTTTCCTATTAATGGGACCATATTTTACAACTTGAACATCATGCTGGATTAAAGAAGACTTGAAACTAGCAATTGAGATCATAAATAATGGTTACACTGTTTCCAGCAGTAATAAGTCAAGTGAGTTGCAGGAACATTTTTTATAGACTTCTACACATTCAGATTTCTGCATTGAGTTAACTTTTCAGTCGCTTGGGTTAGACCACAGTTCTTGATAAGATGAAAATTACTTCATTATTTATTCATGTAAGATCCCTAACCCTCACCAGTTGGGGCATGGTACCCGTAGACTTCCACCTCACAGAGGGTAAGGACCCTTCCATCACCCGGTATACGCACAGTCACATAGCGTCCCTCCACACGATCAGTGAAAGTCAGAGTTTCCAAATTGTTTGAATCTATTCTAGAAATGGTACCAGCCCTGACAGAAAGAGAGCAGATATTAGACAGAAAGAAGCCCATTATTTACATATTATACCGGCAGTCATTAAGGGTTCAATATTGGTGCTCAAATGTACTTCTCCTCACATTTAAACTTTAAAGATATGCCAGTAGTTTTCAATTTTTCAAAGAGGATTTTTAGACAATTTTGTGTTAAACATGATATGGATGGGTTGTGACCTGTCAATCACAGGTAGTTCGCCTCTAAAGCTCTTCTTTACTCAGTATTTCCCAATTTGGGATCAATAAAGTACCTCATAGTATCGGACCATCATTTACTCAATTCAAATCATGCTGTAGTTTGTTGAAAATGGCAATTGAGACTATAAACTGTTCACTGAGGTAATAAATCAATTAGGATTGGTCATTTTCTCTATAATCTGACTAGTTTGTGTAGTTGCCTCATTAAACAGGACAGAGGAGAAAATGCTCAGACATGTACACAACATAAAAGGCAAAACAAAAAGAAATGTGTGCAGGAGATGTCTTACACTGGGTTTGTTGCACCATTGTTGTCTAAAGAGTTGCCGATGTGGACCTGTGCCCCCCTAAGCCTCTGCTGACAGCAGTCTCCTCTGTTGGAGATGATGATGGAGGTGACGACGTAGGGCTCCAGCAGGTCCACTCTCCACCAGGGGTTGCTTTCTTCATCAGTGTGGGTGCACGATCCAGATTGGAAGTGATTATAACGGTTTCCATCAATAGCGTTGCTGGCAGATGAGAAAGCGTGGTCATAACGGTCTGACTGGGTCGCTTTTCCACGCATGGCCACGTTTTCTAGAGAGAAGACAGAGGTGTGTCAGTGTTTCAATAGATAACTTTGAGATGGTCCTGAGTACTCACGACACTCCAAAGAAAACAGCATATCAGAAACATTACAGTCATAGAAAGGCTGTAAGTTGTTGGGAGAGTTAATCGGACATGGAGCTAATTATTGCTTATTAGCTTGATATATGACCTGTGTTTGAATACTGAACATTATTGACGCGGGCGCTTATTTTCCAAATAAAGTGCATTTCTGTCTTTGTCTTTGTGTAATGTGAGTTTGGTTGTACTGTGTGCATTTGCAGTAGTGTTGCTAAATAGTTTCTCTGTGTTTAGTGTCTATTCGGTCATTTGCACGTGTTTGCTTACATTGCAATGCCTTGAGCAACAGTATAATCGATACGAATCGGCCTAAAAACTTTCTATGCAATACAAAAATTCTGCAGGAAGTTTTTGCAGAGAAGTCAGCAAAAAGAGGAAGTGGTGTGCTGATTCAGTCCGAGTACAAAACAACATTTGGAGAAATCAGAGTAGTCATTAAGGCTGCAAAACATAAAGTGTATATATTTAATGTGATCAGATTACAGTCTTCTTATTTAGAATCCAACTGAGTTTATTTCTTTTTAAACATCATAATCAAATTGTCCTAAAGCTTTAGTTAATATTTAACTTGCTAATGAATATGTGTTTTTATCTTAAAGGAAAAAAAGCTTTTGCAACAACTACAGGGATTTTGGAGCAAAAACTTCCAGATAATTCAATTTGTATCTTGACCCTCTCGGATCATACTTACGATAAGTGGAGACTGAGCACGTCTGCAGCAGCAGCAGCAGAAGGACAACACAGACTTTCATCTTTCTGGTAGAGCAAGAGGATATCATTAACAGAATATAATACTTTTTTTTTACATATTTTACATTTTTCTTACTGTTATCAGTGATTGTAACGGTAAAGTTCAATGAGTTAGAGTTCAACATTAAGACAAGATAGATCTTTATTTATCCAAAGGGATTTTATTGCGCATCAGTTGCAGTACAAAGTAGGACAATTGCAAATGAGGATCCTTATGCTGCAGAGGGTTCCTATTTACACGCTATGTTACATGTTTTATAATCCATTCTCAGGCTGTGAGAAGCAACGTAAGAGAACAGGACAAAGACAAAATAAAAAGTGTTACCTGAGACCCCGACAGTCTGTTGGTTCAATGGAAAAGATAGAAAAGTCTCCAAGCCCCAAACAAAGAGATTATGTTACTCTTTATATGCAACCTGGTCAAACCTTATCCAACCAATCATCAGAAATCAGATCATATTCATATTCAACACCAACCAATCTTATTCGGTTTACTCCCATGCACATGTATTTCAGTTCCCTTTTCTTGTGGATTTGATTATAGGAGTCATCCAAGTTAATGCCAGGAAGTATGCTAAAGATCACTCAATACACACCAATAGTATTACCAATAATATCGGTTTAATATTATGTAAAGTAACTTTGATAATGATGAATTAAAAAAACTCATGTAGCGGTGGAATGTAGGTTATTACATTTAAGTACAATTTAAAGATACTATTATTAGTATTCCCAATATAATCTGCTTTATACTTCTACTGCACTACACCGGCAGGAAGGGAAAATAGTGTCCTAATACTTTAAAACTAAAACTAACTAACTAATATGATCATTTTATAAACATTTTATTTGTTATATTATCCAACAGCATATAGTGTACAAAACTATTTGTTCATCAGATAGTATTTAAATATTGCTTAAGCATCAATGCATCAGTAATAACTAGGGGTGGGAATCACCAGGCTCCCCACGATACGATACTATCACGATACTTAAGCCACGATGCGATAGTATTGCGATTCTACGATATGCTAAGTATTGCGATACGATATATTGCGATATTGCAAATCGCATGCTTCATATCCATTTCCGTCTTCCCTTCCTGGTTAAAAAATGTATTTTCAATATGAATAGTTTATGTAAATAACTACATTTGTGTTATTAGAACCTGAAAAGGAGATGGCATTGTTTTTGACACTTTCATTGCAATTGTATACATGTCTTAACGTAACTTCCTGTTTTATATATGACCATCTTTCGGAGGGATATGCTACAGTTTCTATAAATGAAACCAGAGGAGACTGTGAAGTCCACCGCAGACGGACCACTTTTGGACAAAATGTCCTCTCCATTAAAGGCAGCTTGTTCTGGAATAGCCTCCCAACTGAGATACGGGATTGTCCCACTCTCAATAGTTTTAAAGGTCAACTCAAAGAATGGTTGAGAAACAAACAGACGTGCAATCACCGCTAAATGCACTTTAACACAGGGGTATCTCCTCTTGCACTTTATGTAGCTCGTTTATCTTCTCTTGCAAAAAATGCTTATATAATAAAATATCGATACTTGCCATCCGTGTATCGATACAATATCGCCACGCAAAGTATCGCAATACTATGCTGTATCGATTATTTCCCCCACCCCTAGCAATAATATTCCAGAAAGTAATACATACTAATTGTAGCAGCTAAATTATAAAGAAATAAAACAGAAAATGAACTCCAAACTAAAACTGCCACTGAAGAACCGGCTATCAAATCGTACGCAGGGAAAAATATCCAAAGTTCAAGCGAGAATGTCGTTTTCGGAAGTTTATGCCAATAATCCAATATCATGCAGTACAATATTGGGTTTTCCAATCTTGCCCCTTTTGCTTTTTAAGGTACATTTACATTTAGCAAAAACTGTAAGAAAATAAATGTTAAACTATGAAATAAATTAACTGAACTGTATTGCTCAAACAATCATTTATAAACCATACTCTCAAAGGTGCTACTCAAACATTTACTTACTTGATGTGCATTTTACTGATAATGCTTTTGTAAATACACTTGGGTAATGTTTTAAAATGCAAGGCTTTAATTTATTATATAGCATTTTAAATGTTTACATAAGTAAAACATACCAGTACTTCTTTCATCACTGCTTAATTAATGGTGTTACTGGACGACCTCTGATTAAATTGGACCATTACAACACTAATGTGCACAAACTTGTAAACTGTGTATAATAAAGAGTTATAGCCAACATAATGCATCAACCATTAAATGTGTTTGACCAAAATGTGTGAAAAATAGCATAAAACAGCATCAGCATAACTCTGGTAAAAAACATTGCAGTGAATGACCCCTGATTATATCTCTGCACATGGAAAGTTGAAAACATACCAAATATTCTACAAAAAAACAACAGAATTTGTTAATAACAAAAAGGCTTAGTTGCAATTTATTTTTGCTTAATGTGCACAATCAACTTCTCTGTTCTAGTGTGTTTCAACATTTTGAATACTCTACTTCTCTGTTTTTCTCTCTGAAGAAACACAATCCAACCCTGCAGTTTACTGGTTTCACCAACTCAGATTTTATTTCCTTCTCAAATTCCTTTTCGGGTGTGTGACTGACAATAAAGACGCTGCACAAATTATTCAGACTGACACTATTGCAATGTTATTGTCTTCTTAGCTGTACAAGTTGTACCCAAAAACATTGGTATCATACCTGAGTGACAAGAGGTTAGAAACAATTTATTGTATGTAGCATATGCTGCTTCCTTGATGCTCCAAAATCATTGGCATCAGACCAAAGAGGTTAGGAACAAGTTGCCGTGTGAATCAAATTCTGCTGCTTCTTCTTGGCTTTCTCGATGCTCTATAATGGAATATCTCAAAACATATCCAGAGTCTTCACCGTTATGGTGTAAATATAACCTATATACCAATTGGATCAAATACAAAAGTCAGCCAAATTAATGTTGATACTGCAAGGAGACGTATTTTGTGAAAATAAATGTAAGATGTTGTGTAATTGCTGATATATTTATGATTAACATATCATATCACATATTCAGTTTCGGCGGCAGTTCGTCCTGTTTGTCCAGAAGTCTTCTCATCAGGGCTCTATAAATAAAGAACTACGGCAGATGTGCAATATTTAATGCAGCCGAACCGTGTATTACAATGCCGTTATGTGATGACTTCCAAAGAGAAAAGCAAGAACACTCGGAATAAAGTATTATTTTTTTTTAAAAATGTTTTCGGATTTCACATCGCATAAACACCATCTCCCAACGTGCATTGCGGCTAAACAATCCAATCACCGAGCTGAGGATCTTTCCTACGTCTGTTTCCGGTATTGTTCCTGTAATGAGAGTTCACATTTATGCTACATTGAAGGGTGGAATTCACTACACATCTTCAGAAACATAATTTGCTTCAGATATAACTAATAGTAATATTGTAACCATTAAGAAAAGCCAACTGCATTAAAAACCCAGTTAACAAACACTAGGTAAAGTGTTCAAACACACTTCTTAGATCGAAATATGACATAATCTTTGTACACACTACTAACCTGTTGAAATGAATGAAGCAGAGGGAAAGTAGCTGCCGTTCTAGCCAGAATGCCAAGTCTGCGGCAGACACATAATAACAACACTTACTTTACGGCATTCGCTCAGCAACACATTCCCTTTTACGGCATGCTCACTGAGGCCTTTCCGTGTCCTATACTGGAGAACCCGGCCCTCCCAGACATTTGACCCACACCTAGACTGTTACTCTACAGAAGTTTGTAGGTGATTCAGTTTGAAAGATATAATTCTGGAGTCCACCCATGCAGTGCAGCGTCGAAGTGCGCATATTTCACGTATTTAAACATATCTTTTCGAATATAAGGGGTAGAAATATGATTCAGATAACCGCATAAATATGTGGTCACATTTTCAATGTATATTGTCTTGTATAAATTAAAGGAAACCTATCATGCTATATTTAAATGATATATTGTAGGGCCATACCTATATAAGGTATATTTATACGTTTCTGTTTTCAAAATACCAAACAGATCATGCATTTTAGCCATGCCTCATTTCGCTCTATGTGCTGTTTGCTGTCTACGGGTCTGATTCTGCTTGACCGGCACTTTTCTAATTTTGTCCGGAAGATTTAAACTTTAACGGACATCTTGACCGGCGAAACAAACTGAAACTGAAACTCTGCCGCACGGTCCCCTCGTTCCTTGGAAGAGGCGGAGAGGTGGGTGTTTGTCATCTGCTGGTGGACTAACCGGAGAAAATTACAGTGCTTGCCTCGACGGGGAGGGATTGCATTGCAGCGGGAGCAAACGCTTGCCTCGGGGAGGGAGAAAGAAAGCCACAGCGGAGAATAAACAGAAGGGTAACCATGGTAACCAAGTATTTTTCGCTGCTTTTGTGGCAGACTACAGCGCCACTTACAGGCCTGGCATATGTACTACAGCGTCTCCAGCGCTTTCGAATGGCAATGTCCGTGGCTGTCTCCTCCTGATTGGTGGAGTTGGCCCAATAGCCGTAGCGCCACCGTCCTGACGTCAGGACAGTGTTCAAATCTGGATCAGTTTTTATCAGATCCGTTGCAGCCCCTTTTTTAGAGATTTGGGTATGGAGGAAAATAGAGAGGGTTGTGTTTTCTGACACTTGGTGAGTTCCCTGGAACACCCGGGACACATATTCATGTATAAAAGACGTACAAAAGTGCATTTTGCATGATAGGTCCCCTTTAAGTTATACTCTCCAAGGCCTCCAAGGCATGTTTATGTTAAATATTGTATCATTTAAAAAAAAGCAGAGGGCAGTATAGGACACGGAAAGGCCTCAGTGGGCATGCCGTAAAAGGGAATGTGTTGCTGAGCGCATGCCGTAAAGTAAGTGTTGTTATTATGTGTCTGCCGCAGACTTGGCATTCTGGCTAGAACGGCAGCAACTTTACCTCTGCTTCATTAATTTCTCCTGTTCAACAGGTTAGTAGTGTGTACAAAGATTATGTCATATTTCGATCTAAGAAGTGTTTTTGAAACTGTTCTTTATGTGTAGTTTAATGTCATTCTGTGAGCAGGGGCGGATCTACCGGCGTGGCATGGGGTGGCAACTGCCACCCTAAAAATAGGCCTTGCCACCAGTGGCGGCCGGTGGTCTTTTTTTTTGGTGGGGCTCTTGACGTACCGGAAGTGACCTACCCGGGGGGTACGGGGGGTTTCCCCCCGGAAATTTTTTTCGAGAAATGACCCCTTAAATGATGACTTCTGGTGATGTTAGAGGGGGGGGGAAAGGAGAAATCGAGGCTTAAAAATATGAGAAGACTGATCAATACCTCCATAATCTTCAGTGTGGAAAATATTATTTATCAACCTGAACATCTACTACTTTACCAGGAATTTGTGTTCTCAGAACTGGTCTGTTTTTTTCTTTCTTAAAACTGTTCATGTTTTATGAACCAACACCTCCACC